ATATATATATATATATATATATATATATATATATATATATGTTAGCGTCCAATCTTGAATCTTACATTGGACTTGTTCAATGTCGCATCGGCAACGAGATTATCAACAAAATCTCAATTGATCTTGAGATAGCCGTTGAATTCGCATTCTTTTTGTGGAACTGTTGAAACAGTGCTATTTCTGATGACACAATCGTCCTTGGAGAAATTACAATAGAATTTGTAAAATTATGGATAAGTTCTCACAAATGAATAGCTTTTATGAAAAACTGTAGTTAAGGTTTTAAGTTCGAACTTAGTTTCGTCATCAATGATTGCAAAACTTGAAATAGCACTGTTTCAACACAATTCCACAAAAAGAATTCGAATTCAGCGTCTATCTAAAGATTAATTAAAGCTTTAACGAAAAATCCTTTTGGCAATTCGACATTGGACCAGTCCAATGCGAGAATCAGAGATTCACCTTGGCCGCCCATAGAAAAAATTTTCGAATAAAACTGCAATGCGAAAATACCGCGATGAGAATAGAGACCATAACGGTTTAGGTGGCAAAAATTCAGCTTGTACTATGGTTTTCTTTGTTCCCCCTGCGATATTTCCGCGCGATGAGTTTTGCTGGCTTGTAAAAACCAAATAAACAATCTGACTTTTGTAGTTTATTGGAACCGCGGTTAATCCCAATATTACTCGAAGATTTTTTCGTGGACAATTCGAGATTAGACGCTAACATGTATATATATTTCGTATCTGAGCAACGTTGGTTTGACTAAAAGGAAAGAAAGAAGGCATCATCTTGTGATTGCTGCATATTGGTACCTTCATATTTTTACTAGTAGTTTCTCTATTGATGTGGTACTTCGCACTTGTATTCTATAATTGTAAAGCTTAGTAAATCCTTAATGACATCAAGGAAGCCTATTATCAACACCGATCTTTGACCCAACCATCATGATGAAGGGAGTAGGAGTAAACTTTTCGATGAAAAAATGTCACGAAAATATTTGAAATACACATAAATCGACTCTGCTTTTTATACTGACTCAGAACATATCACCCCGGAGGGGTTTTTAAGGGTACGTTCTCGGAAAATAAAATTTTATTTTCCGAGAACGTACCCTTAAAAACCCATCCGGGGTGATATGATATAATATTGGTTTTGATTCAATCGTCCTTTTTTATAACCAAAATTTACTAAATATAAGAAAAAAAGGCACACATTCGTGCCATTCCTTAACTAGCTTGATATCAATAGAAATAGATCTGTTTAATGATAAAAATCTTTCTAAATATAAGTTCAGTGGCCCTAGAACATTCTCAACTACATTTTATTGCTGTGAAAAAAAGAACGCTTGATTTCTTTACTTTATCTTTATTTTCAAAAGTAATACTAAAATTCCATTCCTGATTTTATCACTGTTTTTCTTTTTGTTTAGTTGACTACTCAATTGATTGGTTTATCGGAAAATGGTTTAGCTAGTCTGATCATAAAAAACATAATAAAACGGATTAAAAACAAATATTTTTTTTTTTGTATCACATTGTAGTAATAAAATATACAGATATTCTTCATTGTTTTTTTCCTTTTTGTAGCTTTTGTAGATGCATGCTTAGCCTGAGCTCTTATCAGGAGAGGTCTCCATATAGTTAAATGTTTCATGCTCTTTCAGTTATGGGTTTATGTGTGGGCGTAAAGAAATAGAAAATTCTAACTCTTACCTACCTGCTCACTTCTGAGAAAAGTTCGCAAATTGTCATTTATATAATTGAATCTATGAAGTCTAATTTTCAAATTTTATCTCACTCTCAAAAACCTGTGTACTGCAATTCGAAAACATTTTCTTCAGTGTGGTATAGCCTCATTACTTGAGACTTAGTAAATAAAGTTTATTCTAGAACAAAAACAGAAGATCGTTGGGTAGAGTCATTTTCTAATTCTCCGAAGACTTAAATGATATCAATAGCCTAATTCAAGGAAAGTTTGATATACATGCATGTGGCAGCACGCAAGCGATGCCATTTTAATATATTGTATCTATTATTCGCAGCAGAATTAAAGAAGCATGTGCTAGGTTCCTATATTCTTTTTATTTATAATAAATAATAATAACCTAAACTTTCCAAAAAAGAAAGCAAACAATAAAAGACCTGAAAATCACTACATAGAATAAAATATTACTTCTCGAGACAAAACAACAACTACTATATAATGTACTGATTAACTGATTGAAAAATAAACAGAAGAAGTAGAAGGATCGTCATTCTATATCTTGTTATAGTGGACTTAAGCTCAATGACTTGAAAATAGCAACAGCTAGTGACCTGCGGTTTTTATGAATAGAAAGAGGAGAATTTGAGACGACTTTTTGTCTAATACTATATAAGACAAAATTATTGAAAAGTCTGTCATCTTAACGAAACATTTAAAAAAATGCATGAAATAGGTACTCTGTTTCGATGTAATTTTAGTTTCGACATGTGCTTCAGATCTATAGCTCAAGACACGATTACGATGATTATTTTCTCATGTCTCAATGTTGAGCAAAGACAATTGGGTATCTATTCGATCAACTTTATTACAAAAAAAAAAGCTTTTACTTTAGATTTTTGTTATAAACTTTGATTATTAATATGATGAGCCATACGAAAAAAACATAAACGACGTCATCGTATGTAATTCTTTGAAAAAAAATAGCAAGTTAAAACATCTTTTTTATTTTAGATCATTTGGATGATGAACGAGATGAATACGAACATCGAAAGTATCATCGATCAAAACCGATAGAACAACCCATTAAAGAACCAACCATCGATCCATCATTTTATTGACTTGTTCGACGTGATTTTCTTACTAAGACATATCTTATTAATAATGTCATGTTTAGGTCTCGAAATTCTTTTAAATATTTCATTAAATTTATTGTCATTATGATTTTTATTCATATATTTCTCCTACAGATATTGAAGATTTTTAGAAATTTGTACAAAAATATCAATTATTTCAACAACAACAACGAAAATAATCACCTAAACCGATACTACCTGGTATAAATCTTTGAAAAAAAGAAACTTTATTTTTTTTGAATTTTTGAATTCAAACATTTTATATATCTGTATAGATGTTGATCGATAACGATCGAATGTGTTAAATCTACTATTAATTTATGATAAAAAACATTGTTTTAATACATATCGATAACAATAAATAATTCTTTAACACTTTAATCTTTCACGTTATGATATGACTAGTAAAAAAATTATAGATCATACTTGTTTATCTTCAGTACGACTAGCTGAATTTAAATCAATAATTGAATATTATTTTGATTTTCATCAAAAATAAAAAGTAACAAAAAAAAAGAAATTATTCTGTTATAAATTTTTTTAATTTAAATAGTTTAAACGTATTTATAAACTTTGACAAGATCAAAATAATTTACCAATTGCAAATCATCATCTAGAAATACTCGAAGAATTAAAGATTCATCAAGTTATATTAATAGTTGGTGACATCGGTTGTGGAAAATCAACACAGATTATGAAGCTGGTTTTGATAAATAGCATGTTCACAACCAAGACGTATTGCTTGCTCGTATTTCATTAGCTAAACGTATTAGTTATGAAACATTAAATGAATATGATAATCAAGTTGGATATCAAGTAATGAGTTGTTTTCGAGAGTGACTACAAAAGTTAATTATACAGATTTAATTTTTCATAATAGTAATTCGTACAATGAATTCAAATAGTGAATTGAATAGAGAAAATGATTTTCAACTCGGATTTTAAGTAAATAAAATCTTCATAGTATTAGTAAAATCTAAGATCTCTACACAATGAGAGATCTTCGAGCTTCTGACAAATATTAAGAACTGTCTAAAATTTTCTGTTTCTTAAGTGAAAGCTGGACAATGAAAGAACTCTTGGACTGAGATTTGAAAGGAATGGGTGATCCTAGTGAGAAGTAGACCCAGTAAAAACTTCAGCTTGATGTATCAAACTATCGCGAACTTCTGGCTTTTTATGGTCTTTAGAAGAATCGTTATTACAAGAGATACAGAGCTCACGATGGCTTCATGTTAAAGTCAATACAATTGCATAATTATTATTAACAAATAGAATTTTGAAATTCGTTTTTATTCATTTTGTATGATCATTTTAGTACATATAGAGTTAAAATAAGTAAAACAAAAATATCCTTTTACGACATTAAATCTCGGTATTTTCAACACGGAAATCAATCACAAAAAATTTGATTCGACAAAGGTTTACTCTCACTTAGACCTTTTAAAAAAATATTGGTTATATCTTGAACTCGATGAGTGTTATTTCAGCTTTTCTAATTGAAAATCATGTTCCAAGAAAAACGGTAAATAAGCTTAGATGCGAACCAGAGAAAATAGCGTATTAAAATGGTATGTTCATAATATAATCAAGTCGAAATTTTAGGTTACAAGAATTTCTGTTAGGTTCAAGATTCTGATGAACTTCCCAAGTCGAGGCAAACGAAACG